GATCCAGACACAGCGCACGGGCGCGCGCAGAACAGCCCTTTCGAGGAAGCCTCGCCTTGGGTCACGCGGAAAACATTTCCGCGACGCATGACGGCGGTCGAGGCGGAGTTTTGGATGACATCCGTTCAAAACACGACACATCATTTAAACGTACGTCCACTCCACGAACGTCACGCAGAGTGGTTAAAAACCTGTTCGCCGGACAGATGGATGGACAGAGTGTTATGCAAGGGTTACACGCTGCAATTTGCAACCCGACCCCCTCCGTTCGGAGGAGTTATAGAGACGGTCCTGTCATCACCAGACCAAGTCTAAGCCTTAAATGCAGAAGTCCAAGAGCTTCTGATAAAAAGTGTAATCTCAAGAGTTCCCAACGAGGAGAAAAACACAGGGTTTTACTCACGCTACTTCCTGGTCCCCAAAAAGACCGGAGGGATGAGACCGATTCTGGATCTGTCAGCTTTCAACAAAGCGGTCATGAACAGACCTTTTCACATGTTGATGAACAGACAGCTGTTGGACAACATCCAGAAAAACGACTGGTTTGTCTCCATCGATTTAAAAGATGCTTATTTTCACATACCGATCATCCCAAAACACAGAAAATTTCTGCGTTTCGCCTTTCAGGGGATGAAGTATCAGTACAACAGGCTGCCTTTCGGGTATTCCCTCGCGCCTCGTACGTTCTCAAAGTGTGTGGAGACAGTCCTGCATCCACTGCACAGAGCAGGGATGAGAAGTTTGTTTTACCTGAACGACCTGCTGCTCCTGTCTCACTCCAGACAGGAAGCATTGATACAGGCTCAGGTGTTAGCATCACACCTGCTAAATCTGGGCTTCGCCATAAACTGGAAGAAGAGCTCGTTTTTCCCGGCCCAGACAATTGTTTATCTGGGAGTGGTATTAAACTCAATTACCATGACAGCTCGTTTATCACAAACAAGAATCGACACTCTAAAATCCAATTACGCCACGTAAGACCTGGCAAAGTGGTAACAGCTGTCTCCGTCATGAAGCTGTTGGGAATGATGTCATCAGCTCACACAGTGGTCACGCTGGGTTTGTTACACATGAGACGCCTCCAGAGGTGGTTTACGCGTCTGCGTGTGGATCCAGTAAAACAAAAGAGACGGATGATCACTGTCCCTCCCTCCGTGAGAGCAGGCCTCCGACACTGGGGAAGCACTCTGGCTCTGTCAGAGGGAGTCCCCGTCAGCAGACCCACGTCATACGTGTCAGTCTTCACGGACGCGTCTCTGTCAGGTTGGGGGGGGGACATGCCTATCTCAAGCAGTAGGGGCGCTGTGGTCCCACCGCACATCAGCCCACATCAATGTTTTTGGAGTGTCGCACAGTGCTGAATGTGATTCAACACTTTGCTCCCGTGCTACAGAATCAACACGTGTTGATTCACACAGACAACATGGTGACTGCCGCGTACATAAACCGCCAGGGGGGTGTGCGTTCAGCCCAGATGTTTCACATTGCGCGGAAGCTACTGAGTTGGGTTCATCAAACCTGCTCTCTATTAGAGCGTTTTTACATATCCGGTGTTCTGAACAGAGGGGCAGATATGACGTCCAGGGGCGGCCCACGTCACGTGGACCAGACCCTCCATCCAGATCTGATGTTTTCAGACGCAGCAGAAGTTGGCAAAGCAGCTGTGGACCTGTTTGCGACGCGAGAAGAACGCTCAGTGTCAACTATGGTTTTTTCCCTGAGCCCACGAGACAATCCATCGCTGGGGGGGGGATGCAATTGCTCACAGCCGGTGGCCCAAAACGCTTTTATACGCGTTTCTTTCCCCCCACCTCCTTTGTTTCTTTACGGTTCCTGAACCGAGTTCAGGAGGAGGGATTGACAGCTCTCCTGGTGGCTCCCGGCGTGTGAACGCACCATGGTTCCCAGGCCTGCAACGTCTGTTGTCGGGTCGCCATGGAACTGCCGTGGAGGGAGGATGCTCTCCTTCAGGCAGGAGGAGCGACCAAGAGTTACCCAGAAATAGGTCAACACCTGTGGGTCTGACCGTTGAGCGGTCCCACTTAGAGGATGGGTCTCCCTCAGGAGATAATGTGCACAATTCAAGATTCACGTGCTGCATCTACCACAGTTCTGTACACATCAAAGGGGACGGCTTTTCAGCGCTGGTGTACAGAGAAGGTTTAGAGGCCACCTCATGCCTTTTAGGCGGCGTGTTGTTTTTCTACAACAGCTGATGGATAGGGAGTTGGTTTTCAGTACGCTTTTACGTACGTTGCAGTCATCTATTCCTGCCACGAAGGTTCGGAGACAGAACAGCTTTTAATCACCCGCTGATGAAGCGTTCTTTCTAAAGATGTTCAGAGACACAGGCCTGCTTCACGTCCACTTGCTCCACAGTGGGATTTAACGCTGGTCCTGCGAGCCATGATCAAAGCTTCAATTGAGCCTCTGGATCAGGTTTCACTTAAATTCTTGTCTCTTTAAACAGCCCTGCTGCTGGTTTTACACCCGCTAAGAGGGTAAGTAATTATCTGCCCTCTCTGTTGCTTCGTCATGCCTTAGAATTTAGGCTGACGGGCAGCTCAGCTGATTAAGACCAACCCAGCTTTTATGCCTAAAACATCACGAGCTCTTTTAAATCAAGAGTGATATCGTTGGAGGGGTTTTTTCCCCCCCACAGATCAGAGGAGGAAGCATTTTTTCATCTTCTCTGCCCGGTGCGGGCGTTGTCGTGTTACATAACACGCACAGCTGCAATGCGTTTTCAAACTCAACAATTGTTTGTACATTATAGAGATGCTTCTGCAGGTCGCCGTTATCCATCCAGCGCTTGTCACACTGGCTGTGTGAGGCCTTTTCTGAAGCCTACAGAGCATCAGATTTAGGGCCTCCTGTCAACCTCTAAGCACACTCGACCAGGGGTATCGCATCTTCGACTGCTCTGCATAATGGTATGTCAATGCAGGACATTTGCACTGCGGCTGCATGGTCAACACCCTGCTCATTTATTCGCTTTTACCTACGTGATGTAACGGCTCGTTCCATGACACATTCTGTCCTTAGTGCTCTAACAGAATGAATATTGTTGTTCTCATGGAACTCTGTTTAAGCTCACTTCTGTCTGCATGCATTACAGTGTGAGATGTTGTTATCAGTCACAAGTCGTGTCTGTGATTTTGGTTTTATTGTCACTAATCACTTCATGATTATTGTTACCAATCAATTCATGGACATTAATCTGTTATACTGTTCAGCCATGAACCAGTTGGTTCATGCCCCCCCCCCCCCTCTCTCTTTTCAACTCCTTCTTCCCGTTGAAAGTTTTCCGGGGGCATTCATGCTTTGTCAGAACGCATAGTTCTCAACATGCGTCTGTGCATGTCACATAATTACGCGATGCGTAGTTATGCACACGGGGAGCTGAGTGACAAGACGTTTTTTGGGCAAGCTTCCGCTTCTTACTGTGTTCGAATGGACCCAGTGAGGCGAGGACCACATCGGCTTCGCCCTTTACCCACTAAGCGAAGGCCTTAAAGGGCGAAGCTTATACGACATAGAACGTTGGTTACGTACTGTAACCCCAGATTCTATGAGTATAAGCGTAGCCCTTTAAGCGTCGGGCCTCACTGGCTCCTAAATGGCTGAAGAAAAAGCTATTTTGGGAGCCGATTTCCCGCTCTTAACGTAATTTATACGGACCGGGTGGGGCCCACACAGCAGGTGGGCGTGGACTAATTTTTTCAGTGCTTATGCTCTGCATAACGGGATAAACCCACTAAGCGAAGGCCTTAAAGGGCTACGCTTATACTCATAGAATCTGGGGTTACAGTACGTAACCAACGTTTTCTATTCTGCCCCCTTGCAAATAAAAACAGGGTCGAAAAAACTTCTTGTGTCTTCAGTGTGGCTTGTTTAATTAATGAGATGATGAATGGTAATTAATTTATTCAACATTTACGCCGGATGCTCTTCTTGATGTGACCAAAGACCACAGAGCTACCAGAGCCTCTGTGTGGAGCAGAGAGCTGCATCTAGGGTGCCAGGGGGGGCAGATGGTGGGGTTAAGGACCTTGCTCAAGGGCCCAGAGTGGGGCAAATGAGGGTGGAGGAAAGTGTGGGTGCTTCACCTTTCCCTCCCACATTTTTTATGTTGTCGGTACAGGGAGTTGAACCAACAACCCTCCAATCACAGGCTCACCACTTCTAACCTCTGTGCCACCACTGCCCCCGAAGAAAATTCTACAAGTATTCATTGGATTTTTTAGAAGATAAATAAATAAACAAATAGCTGCCATAGAGCTGAGCCAATAAATCTAACGTGGTCAAAATGGGATCTCTCGATGTTCTGGTGCGGCTCGCCCAGAGATCAACCAGAACCTGAAGGAACGTAAAGAACAGCGTTCTTTATTTTCTTTCTAAGCACCATTTTCTGGCTGCAGAATAACTACTGCTAAAATTACAATTTGAGACACTATAAATAAATAAAATGTCCATTATTTAAAACACAATGCGCTGATGTCACTTGTTTCTTGATTATCTGATTTCAAGCCCCAAAAGGAGCTGATGCTGATCGAATGAAAACTGATTATGAATGAAAACTTGGTGGGACTCAGTCGGAGATTTCTACAGACCGAGCAGAAGGTCGTTGGCTAATCAATATTTGTCAGCACGAGGTGATCAGATTATTCTGGCCCATTAAGTTCTGTTTGCTGTACTAAGTGCTGGACCGGGTCAATGAGCAGCACAACGAGGCGCTGCTGACATGATGGAGCTCACACTTTAAAGTTTCCACGTTTAAACTGGACTCGTTTGAACTTCACTCTTACTTTGGACCAGATCTGTAGGCTCTCATCCAACAATAATAATTATGACGATGGTTGGGTTCAGTCCACGTGATGAAGGTCCGACCCAGGACTGGAGGATCAGAGTCATACTGAAGCTAATGAAGCGACAGGAAGTGGGGGGTAGTGGGTGTTTGAAGGTATAAAAGGAGGAACCCCTCTTCGATCTGCCTCACACCAACCAGCTCGAGTCACCTCCTCTTCATCTCCTCCTCCAGCTCTTCAGGTGAGTGATTCTCCTCGTCCTCCACCTGTCCCCACCCGTTGACATCCAGATGATGATGTTTGTGTGTCCAGCTCTCCTCCAGAATGGCGGCTCTGTGGCTCCAGTCCTTCTCCCTGCTGGTCCTACTGGTGGTCTCGTGGCCCGGGTCCCAGGCCATGAACCCCCCACAGCACCTGTGCGGCTCTCACCTGGTCGACGCTCTCTACCTGGTCTGTGGAGACAGAGGCTTCTTCTACAACCCAAAGAGAGACGTGGACCCCCTGCTGGGTGAGACCAAGATCATCCTCCAAGAACTTTTATGTGCCTCAGTTGGGACTCACTGTGGTCCTTTCAAACCCTTTTAGTGCCGATTTGTGCATACTTTATGCTTCTGTCATTATTTCTTCACGGTTCTGCCTGTTCGTGTCTTGCCTTCTTGTCCAGTTCTGTCAGACTTTTATGAGACACTTTTAAACATTTTGGTTGTTGCTTTACATTCATTTGTGGTCATTTGTACCCAAGTTGTAAGAAAAGCATAACGTCTAACTCTTCTTAAAGTTTAAACTTTCTTATTTCTGTTTTCCAAAGAGTCTAGTCTCTTGGTACGGTGGTTCTTTGTTGTTTCAGGGCTCGAGTCGTTTCATAGTGTCTTCTCTCTTCGACCCCTCAGGATTCCTGCCTCCGAAGACGGGAGCAGGAGCGGTTCACGGCGGGGAGAACGAGGTAGCGGAGTTTGCCTTCAAGGACCAGATGGAGATGATGGTGAAGAGAGGAATCGTCGAGCAGTGCTGCCACAATCGGTGCAACATCTTCGACCTGCAGAACTACTGCAACTGAGCGACGCAGGACCGGCCTTCACCCCACCACCTCCACCCTCCTGTCTGAGGAGCAACGGCCTTAAAACTCCTCCTGAGGAGGTCACTGAAGTGCTGAGAGATGGATGAAGTTATTTTTGCAAGAAAATAAAATTTTATGAATTGAGGAACGTCATGTCATTTGGTGCAGGAATATTTACTTTAGTTTGTTAAGCGTTTGGTTTACTCAGCAAAACTTGAGCACAAATATAGTACAAGCTAATAATAAAATACAGTAAAACAAACGGAACGCCATGGTCCCCTGTCGCTGAGTGAATGGTGAATGTTTGTAGTTTGTGACCAACACGTGCAATGACAGAGTCAGGGGTGGCCAATGGTGGCCTTGCTCACCTTACATTATTCTGTGGCCGCATTGGCCACGATTTTTAATATCATCATTTGAGAAATTATACATTTGAGAAATATAAGAATAATTTATTATTTTTGGTTATGGTAAATGGTCTGTACTTATATTACTCCTTTTTATCTAATCAATATACTCAAAACTCTTTACAACACAATCTGTGCCTCATTTACCTCCACACACACATTCATACAACACACACACACATTATAACATACATATATATATCAGAGTCAGAGTTTCTTTATTGTCATTCTCACCTCATGTGGTACATGTGGTGGAGCGAAATTATGTACACAGGGTCCCAGTTACATCCCAGTATATTTACATATTTACATATATATATATGTATATATATGTATACGTGGAAGTATTTTAAACTATAAACACCACAAAACAAGACAGCAATTATATATATTTCTGAAGGTTAACAGTAAGTCTTCTTTTGTAATATTATCACTTTTATATTTTTTATTAGTTTGCAACCATAATTGATA